CTCATGTGGACCTTGTGTCTAGACCAAGAAATAGTTGTTCTAGTAGAACAGAATACTGCATGGCTTAAAATCAGGAAAGGTGTACTTCTGAATTGTATGTTTTTTCCATACTTATTCAATCTATATGCTGAATAAATAATCTGAAAATCTGGAGTAATGAAGAACACTGGGCATGAGGATTGGAAGAATATTTATTAATCTGGAATATGCAGATGACACAACCTGGCTCTTGAAACATTTACCGATAAAAACCAGACAACAACCTTCAGTGTGGATTATATCTCAACATTAAGAAAATCTTCACAAGTGGAACAATATGCAACATTATGATAAATGGAGAAAAGATTGAAATTGTCAAGGCTTTCATTTTACTTGGATCCTCAATCAACACCCATGAAAGCAGCAGTCAAGATATCAAATAACAGATGGCATTGGGTAAATCTGCTACAAAGGGCCTCTTTAAAATGTTAAAAATCAAAGATGTCTGCTTGAGCTGTGCACCTGACTCAAGCCTTAGTATTTTCAGTTACCTCATATGTATATGAAATCTGGACAAGGAAAACTGAAAAAGAATTGATACATTTGAAATATGGTATGGGTGAAGAATATTGAATATAGTATGGACTTCCATAAGAAAGAATAAATCTGTCTTGGAAGACGTATAGCCAAAATGTTCCTTATTAGAAGCAAGAACGTCAAGACTTCGTTTCATGTAAGTTGGACATGTTATCAGGAGGGACTAGGTCCTTGAGAAGGACATCATGCTTGTTAGAGGATTGGTGTAAAAGAATATCATAGATCAGATGGATTGACACTGTGGCTAGAACAATGGCCTCAAGCATAGCATCAAGTATGAGAATGGTCCAGGACCAGGGAGCATTTCATTCTGTTGCACACAGGGTCAGAGTCAGAACCAACTCAAAAGCACTTAACAACAGCACAGTAAAAAAGAAGAAATAAGAAAGGAGACAGGAGGACCTTCAAACCTCTATGCTAATCAAAGTGTGGTTTTCTAGCCCCCTTCCCTTTTTTTTTAACCTATGGGAAAAAAAGAATAAATAAAGGAAATACCACTCAGCTTGAAATTCCATTTAAAATCATCAGATTTCTCTTTTAAATTTCTTTGAAATACAAGTCACTTCCTCAAGGAATATGGACAAGTTAATCCTGAAGCCATAGCTCATATGAGAGCTGATGTAATAAAGAAATGCTTGAAAAAGCAGCCATGGTATTGAAAACTAAGGGCTGTTCCATGCACTTATGCCAGGGACACCAACATAAGAAATGTTTTTGTTGATAAGTACTGTCCAGTCATTTTGGACTGACTCTTAGCAACCCTATATAGGGTTTCCAAGGAGTGGCTGGTGGGTTTGAATTGCCGACTTTGAAGTGAGCAGCCCAGTGCTTAGCCTACAGCACCACACCAGGGCTCCAAATAGAAAAATAGGTAGCTTATATTTAAATACAGAAGGTTGAAAACATTTTGCTTCATGTCGTTAATGCGATTGTCCTTTAGTTGCCATTGAGTGATTTCCAACTCAAAGCAATCCTACGCACAACACAACAAAACACTGTCCAGTCTTGGATAATCCTCACAATCATTGCTATGTTTAAGCCTATTGGTACAGCCACAGTGTATCTTACTGAGGGTCTCCTTTGTTGATCCTCAATTTTGTTTCATAGCTTTATATTATGTCATCCATTTATAAAGGTTATTTAATGTTTATTATCTATGAGGCATAAGAAAGGTTCTTGCCTTCATGGAACTTACAATTTAGTTGAGAAATCAACTAAACTTAACATGATTAAAAATTAAGCTGTACAAGACAGAGTTTAATCATGAAACCATATGGTGTAGCACTAACTGACAGCAGAGAACAGAGGAAGGGAAAAATAGCTATAGACTGAGGCTGTCAAAAGAGTACATTTTCAAAAAACTCTTAAAATGACACCAAGTTAGAAAGTAAGTATAACTTTTGCTTATTTGTTATTTCAAAGCATTTATTTGGTTTGTCATTGTTTTCCAACCAGTAGCTATTTGAAAGGACATATGGGAAGCCGTTGGAGTTGGCAGGAGACATTTCTTTATATTCTCCCTGGATTTGCTAAGGAGGAAAAAAGACATGTTTCTTTGTGGGATAATAGGCTCAGGAATTAGGCAAGTTTTGCATGGGGAATATGAAAGTTAATGAACAAGAATACAGAACTTTGGCTGTGATTTTTGGTATGAGTTTTTGCTTCCATTAAACTCTTACTTTTGTTAGGTAAATTCTATGTTTTGAAGGTAAGTAAGTCAGTCATGTTCAAAAAATAATTTTTAACTTTTTAAAATCTATTTTCCTCTGAAGTGAAATGAACTGTAGGTGCAAGTTGTTATGTATTTTCAGTCAATGATTTTAACTTTTAAAAATGGGGTGGCGGGTGGGGATGGGGGGCCGTCTGGAGTAAGAGAGCAAAGACAATTTAGCGTCTTTTTATTGGCACAGGGTCTGACCTGTTGAAATCAAGACACCTCACATGTGCATTTGCACTTTTGGTCTTAAAACTTTTCTTTATTGTTCAGCAAAGGTTCTAATCTCTTTGTGTTTCTCACCTTGGCAATTCAGGCAGTTAGAGCTAAATCAGATTTGTTGTAATGGAGTTTAAAATGCTAAAATAGAGGCATGTCTCATCTTGTGTTTTGAATAACTTTAGGCAAAGTTGTGAAGTTGAGAGAATTGTAGTAAGCTCCCCCTCCCATACTTGATTGCTTTCCAGATCTTCCCAAGAAATGTCAGTTATTTCCCCAGATCTAAAAAAAAAATGAGGACTCTTTCATAATAGTTGAAAAACCAGGCAAAAGAGCACACACACTCGTGTGTTTCTTTAAGGAGGGGAAACCTGCAATAAAGTGAGGTAATTCCATTTAGCCGTAGAAAACTCGGTTTTGAACCGTTCTAATCAAGACTTCCAGCTTTTCTGAGTGCGCCTGTGCTTTAGTCTTCAAATCTTCCTGGACCCGTTTTGCATTTCTAATGAAAATGAACTGAGGGAGCTTGAAAGTGGTCTAAGGGTAAAACAAAGCCGGCAAGCTTGTTTCGAGTGTGCCAAGATTCATCAATATTCCAGAAACCTCGGGGCTCCCCCTCCTTTCCCTGGGTGTTTTCATTTTCCCCACTCCCCCTTGGCCAGCCCAGACTCCTCCCCTTTTCTTAAGTTGCCTTGATAGTAACTTGCCATTTCTGAGCACATGCACACTGTCAGAGCTGGGGCTGCGAGCTCACTGGATTTTGTCAGTCCGTCCTACCTGCTGGGGAATTTACCTTGTCATTTGCCTAGGGTTTCTTCCATCCGTTACAAAATCCGAAAAGGTAAGTGCTGCATCCCCTATTCTGCTGGGTTTAATTTTCCCCCTTTCTATTTATTTGCCAATGTTTTATTTTCTTTCCCAAGCAAAGGATTCGCTAGAGCTAAAGCTAGCCATTTTGGTGGATAAAGTCCTCGTTAGTCATTTAATGCAGTCCACTTAGGCTGGGTCTTCTCTCAATTTGTATCTGAGTAATTCAGAGTGGATTGTGGGAGTGATTGTGGTTAGAGATCTTTTATAGAATCAAGTCTGAGCGGGTCTATTTTAAAGGGACGAAGAGCGATTAGAGGTTTTTACTAATCTGGTCTCTCCCTTCTCCCCTTCCCTTCTTGCTAAATTGTTAATCTGGTGTGAAGCCTTAAACAAATTGGAGGTTTTACGATTACTGACCCCAACCTGTAATTTGAATTAAAAAATCAAAACCGTTCAGAAGAGCCCTTTTTTCCACATTTAAATTTGCCAAACGCTTCTGAGGAGTCCCTGGATTTGGAGTGACCTCCCCCCACTGACGCACACGCTTAGTCGCTGCCCTTGCCAGATACACACGTCCACAGGAGCCCCTGGTTTTCGCTCCGATTGATCCTGGTAAAGACTGGGAATTCGAAATCTTGTGAAGCAGCAGGAGAAATGCCTGGCTTCTTCAGACCGCTGATTTCCACCACAGAAAAAGATACACTTAGATGGATTTGAAACTAGAAACCACGTGCTGTCATGTTAGGGATCAGAATTCGTCTGTTTCTGAAATCCACACATTTAAAGCACTTAGAAATCAGCAGTAGAATCCTCAGAACATCCAGATTTGTCACCAAGACAAATGCTACTCTGTACTTCCTCTACTTGTAGTAAAAAATTAAAATGAATTATAATTTCTGACAATTTGCAGATGCACCCAAAGCATTTTGCTTGTTTCAATGGAAAAAATTTTACAGTCATCCTGTAAAATAGTCTAATGCATACTCCATGTCTTAAGGGCACATATGTGTGTTTGTCACATTCACTTATTAGTATTATTATGTGGGGGGTTTTTTTCTTAATGAAGAAAATAAACACTTTACTATATATGAAAGGAAGGCCGCAGCTGCCCAATACCAATATTATAATGCATTTTATTGACACAGTTATGCTTCTACCATGGATAAAACATGTCATCAATCAATTACTGAGCCCTTCCTGTGAATTTAGTTCAAGTGAACATTCATGTCTAAAGCACTCAGCTGGGTTCTGGGGGCTGTGCGCATTAGGAGATGTTCAGTCACATATAGTTCGGTGGTGGCGGTGGTGGTTTTGTGCAGTGGAGTCTGTTCCCACTCATAGCGACCCTGTACAGGGTTTCCGTGGCTGTAAATCTTGAAGGGAGCAGAAAGACTCATCTTTCTCCCGCGGAACTGCTGTAGAATTCTTTTATAGGTTTATTGGAAGGAGATGGACACATTTTTAAAATACAATGCAAGTTTTCAATATAAGAATGCACATTTCCAAGATAAGGTGCAGTGAAATACACACATTTTAGCCTTCAAACCTGGCGCTTGGCGTTGGCACTTTCCAGCCCTTGATTTTTACTGAGGTCATGCAATTTAATACCTACTTGTCCCGGAGTGGAGCAGCACAGATTTCTCACCTCTGTGTAACGCTGTTTATTTCTCTCCCATTCCAGTTGTGCTATCCCACCAGAAAGAGGAGCTTTGACATTTTGGGTAGCGGGATCAATCCTGAGACATTACAGGAGCTAAAAAGAGACACTCCCCGAGAAGTAAAATATGACTAAAAGCAATGGAGAAGAGCCCAAGACTGGGGGCAGGATGGAGAGATTGCAGCAAGGAGTCCGGAAACGCACGCTCTTGGCTAAGAAGAAAGTGCAGAACATCACAAAGGAGGATGTTAAAAGTTACCTGTTTCGGAATGCTTTTGTACTCCTTACTGTCACTGCTGTCATTGTGGGTAAGTCATCTGATGGGGGGCGCGGAAATAACAAAACTGTGTCTTGTTTCTCTGGGGCATCTGGCTGCCTGGGAACACTATCAGATAGACTGTGGATATTTAGAATTACAACCCCAGCATTCTTATACTTCTTAAGATTTTTTTTTTTTTTAATAGTGACAGTTTGCTGGCATATTTGGAGCAATATATGGTAAACATGTGAAAAATCTGAAAGCAACATCATTAGGCATTTTGCAAATTAACTGATTGTGAAAGGAAGGGAAATAAATGTAGTTTCCCTCTCAGCGTAGGACAAAAGATTATTAGACATGAGCAGCTAAATAACATGAAGAAAGCTTCCAGAGTTAGCCCAAATGTAATGTCCCTTTCACTTAATACTAACTAGTACAATGGTAGTGTAGTGGTTACGAATTGGGCTGTGAACCGCAAGGTCAACAGTTCGAAACTACCAGCTGTTCCGCGGGAGAAAGATGAGGCTTTCTGCTCTGGTAAAGATTTACAGCCTCGGAAACCCTGTACAGGCTCGCTATGAGTAGGAACCGACTCCACAGCACATAACAAAAACAGTAACAGTATAATTATTATACTCAAAATGAGATACAGGTACTTAATATTAATTAAATTTTAACTGGTGCTGAGTATCCATACTTAAGGAGCTCTGGTAGTGTAGTGGTTACGAATCAGGCTGCTAACCTCAAGATCAGCTGTTCGAAACTACCAGCGGTTCCGTGGGAGAAAGATGAGGCGTTCTGCTCCTGTAAAGATTTACAGCCTCGGAAACCCTGTACAGGGTCACTATGCATCGGAACCGACTCCACGGTACTTAACAACAAAAACATCCATACTTAAGGCAGAGAGACAACAGGGCTGAATCTTTAGTGTGCATGCATTCCTCACTCAGTAACTGGAAAGGTGAATTAGAAGCAATGTTGGCACAGCTCTCTTTCATTCATTGCATCCCCGAGTGGGCACCAAACGACTGAGTCCTTTTTGAAGCATTTATGACCGCAATCTAGTATAAGACATTGTTATTTTGTTTGCCTTTGGTATCTGAAGTCATAGTTTATTACCTGCAGGTGGAGTTGGTTCTGCCTTGAAAGATTGCTGGAAAAACAACTTGGAATTTTTTATGAAACCAGTGTAGAAATCCTTAGGTTGGTGAACATATGATTTTAAGCCAATGTCATTTGTGGAAAAAACAAAATGCTCCAACTTAAGTTTCTCCTAATTTGCTATAAAAAAGCATTCATATGATTTTATTCTCAGCCTTTGAGTTTGCCAAGATCTCAATTATTTATAAAAATATAATGACATAATACGAACTAAGATTTATAGTTATATATAGTATAAAACTTTCCATGTAGCATGGGAATATAATTATAATTCTGCCCCCTCGCCTCCAAAAAATAAGACGCCTAAGTTGCAAACAGATAGAAATGCATCAGTAGAGTATTATTGGCTATGACAAGACTACACATTTATCCCATTTCAGCATCTTTGTAGGAATTGTTGGAGATTAATGTTTAATCATTAATTTTAGGGATGTTCAAAGAGAAAATGTGTTGACTGACCCAAAGAAGTTATTCTTAAATAGATTCCTGGGTTTGAATATATTATTGGAATAAATATTTCAGTACCATTCCACTGTCTTTGAATTCAATGCACAATGTGGTATACTCACTTCAGATTTTGCTCTGAGTCAGTTATTGTAAACCTAAGCAACAGCTAAATGCTAATCTAATGAACATTTATATAACATTACTCTTCCAGATGCTTTCTAGATGTTTTACATGGACAGTAAACCTGTAAAAGTCAGAATCTTTGTAAGGCAGGAGCCAATCAGAGAAAGAAAACACAAATATTTTCCACTGATAGAGAGCAAGACAAAAGCGATAAGATTCTGTCAAAGGCAGAAAGTTTGTGAGACCCAGAAAAACCAGGCTGTCCTGTCGAGTCCCGGATCTCACAGGTTTCACTTTATTAGCTCATTTATCTTTATATACGCCAGTAAAATGAGTTGTTGTTAAGTGTTGTCAAGTCAGTTCTGACACGTAGTGACCTTGGATAGGGTTTCCAAGGAGCAACTGGTAGATCTGAACCACCAACCTTGTAGTTAGCAGTCCAGTGTAGATCCTACAATGCCACACCAGGACTCAGAGTAAGTAGGTAAAATGACTAAGCTCCTTCCCATTTTATAGATAAGGAAAGAGAATGGAGAACTCAAGCAATTTCCCCAGAGTCACACAGCTTAATGAGTGCTAGAGGCGAAAGTCTAGCACCACTCTGTGCTCTTAACCACTCTGTGCTCTCCCTCTCTGTTGTACTGATTAGTTGGCATTTTGTGAGAGATCCCAGGAAGAGAAATGCTATGTCTCGGTGGAGGCTAGATCTATGAAAGTCATGTGCATTATTGTTTTATTATCTGATTGACCCAGTTAAACTCAGTAGAAAACTTACAATTCTCTTATAAATGGTTAAGCCAAGTCCTTCTCATTCATTTAACAAATGCATTTTAGTCTATTTATTTTGCTATCCCAGGTACGTAATAAGAGTTCAGTAACACTGGACTATGTTGGGAAAAGATGCAGATAAGCCTGTTCAGATTGGTACCACCAGAAGAGTTCACTATCTGAAACTGTAGAATTGAGGAATGGAAAGTAATGAAACCTGAAAAAGAAAAGCAGATTGACAGAAAAGGAATTTCCTAAGTGATTAACTTAAAGAAATAGCATCTCTAATAGAGGAAGGAAGAGGTGGTGGGTTGTGTGCTGTGGAGTTGGTTCTGATTCTCAGTGGCCCTGCATAGGGCTTCTGGGGCTGTAAATCTTTACAGGAACAAAAACCTCATCTTTCTCCTGCGGAATGGCTGGCAGTTTTGAACTGCTGACCTTGAGGTTAGCAACCTGACTCATAACCACTATGCTACCAGAGCTCCTAATTGGAGGAGGAGAATGCCAGGATTTAAGAATTTGCTTTCTCCAGGAGTTCTGCATTTTCTCCCTAACCCACTGAGGTTTTCCTCATTTTTGTGTGAACTGCAGTAAGAATCTGTTGAGATGGACTAGTGAAGACACGAACATGGAAACAACTATCAAGAGCTCATTGACAGTCAGAGAGACTGCTGAGTCTACTCCAGAGACTTGGAATACAAAACAGATTTAGAAGAAAATGAAGTCAGTCAGTTATCTTTGGTGCATCTTCCATTGCAGGCCCAATGGAAACTGAGATTCCATTTCATTTAGCTCACTAAGTAGCTTGTCTTCAAGAGTCCTGGTAGCGCAGTGGATTACAAACTGGGCTGCTAACCGCACCCAGCAGTTCAAATCTACCAGCTGCTCTGCATGGGAAAGATGAGGAAAGATTTACAGCCTTAGAAAGCCCATATAGGATCACTATGAGTGTGTTTACACCTCCAGCATATCTACATCAGCCGCCCAAAATACTAATGATACCATGCCTGAACATCAACTCTTTTAATGTATTTGCTGTAACATAGGGACGGAATCTTGGTAGCATAGTGGATTATGAGCTGGGCTACTAACCACAAGGTCAGAAGTTCAAATCTACCAATTGCCCCATGAGAGAAAGAGGAGACTTTCTGCTCCTGCAAAGATTTACAGCCTCAGAAACCCTATTCAGAGTGTCTATGAGTTGGAACTGACTTGGTGGCATGCAACCACCACCACAGCATAGGGGGGAAAGAAAGAAAATAATAAAAATGCTAGAAAAGAGAGAAGAATGTTGTTATTTTCCTGAAAGATGAGATGAGATGAACTATAACTATTACGGTTCAACTTCTGAAATTCTGATTATTTAGTAAACAAACAAACAAAACAAAAAATAGAGAAACCTATGTAGTGGGGTGAATTTTTTGTGCAATCTGCTTTTGTTTTTTCTTTTGGAAATAAAATGAATGTCCATTTAGCACGCAAACTAAAAATGCATTATGGGGGGCAGGTAGAAACATGTAAATCCCTACCTTCAGAATAAAGCAGAAAATTGTAATTGTTTCAATACTAATTTCTCTGGAGGCAAAGACACAGAACCACTTGTGCAATTTGATGTCTTTTCTAAGGATGACATTTTGTAATGTCATTTGTAACCTGTGTCTCACACTGTGATAAAAGAAGTAGGAGCAGATTCAAAGCCTTAGAAAAGTGGGTGCACCATTAAACCATTAAAGAAAGTGTCGTCCAGACATCTGTCAGACAGAAACCACACTGAGGAGAAAGCGGTTACTTGTCTTTCTTCCTCCCGGACACACTTTCTCTTTGCATACTGTGGTCAATAGCGTCAGGGTGACCGCAGACATCCCACCAAAAGAAGGGGAAAGACTTTAGTCTTCTTGGAGCCACAGAATACTGACTTTTCCACACAATAAAAATAAAGTTTCAGGTCCCAGAATTATGCAGAAATGGGTCATAAGATTAATTCCAAGGGCGGGGAGTCTGTAAAAATGAGGGGGCTTAAAAAATTGGTGGAGAATTTCCATTATCTTTTCATTCCATTTTGCCATGAACTTTTTGAAGCCTGCTTGTAGAGTTGCACCGAATCGGATGGTGGTTTTTCCTGAAGGAGTTCACGACACAATAGCATCTCTCTCTGCTGTTGGTCTTGTCACACACACACAAATAGTTTCTATTTGGGTTGTCATTTTTATGAATTTGAAATTGGTGATATCTCAGGAAAGAAAATATACTTACCAAATGTTTGTAAAGAATTTTCCCAGCCCCCTAGTATTCTTTAGAAGAACATTTAAATTGCATTAAAATTCTATGCAATTTAGAATCTCTCTAGAAGAATATACAAGAAACTGGTCACAGTGACTTTTTTTTTTTTTTTTCAAGTTTTTATTGTGAATTATGTGATAGTTTACATGGGAGAACATTAGCTCTCATTCATCCTATCGTATTTCGTTTCACTGTAATGATTACAATCACCTCCATGCATCATCAAACAACCAAAGGGTACACCCCGCAAGCCTGTCCCCTGGCCACCAG